GGGATCATCAGTGCAGAATGAAATTGATGTGAGATGTAAAGAGAGAGAGAGAGAGAGAGAGAGAGAGAGAGAGAGAGAGAGAGAGAGAGAGACTGGGATGGGGAGCCTAAAGCTTTGAAAACATTTTCCTCTCTCATGCTTTAGTGAACAATGTTGGGGGGGGCACCATTTTGGCAGTCTCTGGAATCATAACATTAAAATGGTGGCTGTACCTTCTGTGAACTGCTAAACTTGTACCTTCTGTGAACTGCTAAACTTAAGAATAGCTACTCCTCCCTACAAATTGCAGCCCTGGAGTGTGCAGGGAAGGGAAGAGTGAGAAGGAAGCGAGGAAGTGCCGTCCAGCTGAAGGGGCTGTGGTCTGACAGAAGCAGCAGCCGTCCAGCGGTTGCCTTGTAGGGGGGCCAGAGGGCTGTCAGGTGTCATGGAGGACATTAACTCCAATGTGACTGCTGACACCAAAGTGCAGAAGCTGCAGGAGCTGGTGAAGAAGTCTTTACGGTGTTACTGGACACGTTTCTGCTACTAGTCTTTTCTGCTCCTACAGACAGACTAACAGGGCTACCCATCTTGTAAACATGAGATTGGGCTGCAGAGTGGTGCTCCTAAAACCTAGATGGGACTTACTTTGGATCTAAATAACAGTGCCTCAGATGGGCCAGTAAGGCACTTAATTTTGAAGCAAGATCCACTTGAGACTCTTAAGAGAGTGTGTTTAGAAAGGGCAACTCCTCGACTGCTATGTGAAACAGATTGTTGTACTGGATGGACCGCAGGTCTAATCCAGCAGGGCTTTTGTTAGGCACTTATGAAATGCAAAGTGGATTTGTTAAATCCTCTTAGTTGGCAGTCAACTACACAGAAATTAATGGGACTTTCAGTCTGGAGATCAAACACAGCCAATTACTCATGGAAAGGAGATGTATCCAGGGAAGTCGTTTCATCTCAGCCCTACACATAAGCAGTTCCCACATGCCATTTGCTGTTTTTGCTCTGGCTTGGGAATTTCTGTCAGATAAATAATTAACATGTAAAGATTCCAATTTTTGATGCCCATCATCTCCACGTGGCTGGGGAACTTCTAGAACCCCAGTAGCTCCTGCTGGATTCCAATGTTCTGCTGGATTTACTGTATAAATCCACTGATTTGTACAGTAGGTGCTCTGGGCCTCGCCTGGCCGTGTAGTAGAACAAGAGGCGGATCTTGTCCATTGACACTGTAGTTCCTAAGTGGTCTTTCTCATCACTTCACCAGAGGCCTGCCCTCTGCCCCGTGTTTGGTAGGACCTGAGGACCATGGGATAGATAGGAAGATATTTAAAGTGCAAGTGGAAAAGAACCAGCCTTGAATCCAACTGAGCACAGCAGAGAGCCTCTCTTCAGCCCTGAAGCTGCCGTGGGGAAGGAAGGATTCACAGCTCGTTTACTTCTTTAGAGCATTTTCAGCCCAACTTTCTCCTAAACCAAAGTGGGTAATGAGGATGCAGTGAGAAAGGCAGACTGTAAATGCAAATATATAAATAAATACTAACAAAACAAATATTGAATATGCCCTGACCTGGATAGTCTGGGCTACCCCGATCTTGTCAGATCTCTGAAGCTAAGCAGGGTCAGTCATGGTCAGTTCTTGGATGGGAGACCACCAAGGAAAACCAAGGCTGCTACACAGAGGCAGGCAACGGCAAACACCTCTGAGCATCTGTTGCCTTGAAAACCCTACAGGGTCAGCCACAAGGCAGCTGCAGCTTGACAGTAAAACCAAAACAACTCCCACCAAACTAAGGTCCTTTCCGCACTTGGATCTCATCCCTTGTTTTATCATAGTTCAGCTTGCGACACGATACCTTGCGGTTATCCCTGGTTATAACAGCATCCGTTTATCCTGGGACACGCGTGGGGGCGAAACCGGGGTGACCTCAATGTAAGGTGGAAACAAAAAAATACCCCAAGATAATTACAGGGGTGAACTCGAGTGTCGTGTAGAATGTAAGTTTGGGGACAGGGTTGAACCAGGATTTAAGGTCTAGTGCGGAAACACCCTAAGTATACAATTAAAAGTCCTGAAAAATTTAGAAGCATGGGGATAATGAAATTTTAGATGGTGGTGTCAAAAGCCACTCCTGAACAATTCCGCCTTTCACGGCTTGTGGGGTCTCAGCAAGCCATCCTAAGCACTTCAGCCAGGGCCTTTTTGTCTCTTCTGAGACTGGCGTCTTCCCTCCACTGCTGAGAATATCTCCTTAGGGAAGTAGGCAATTTCAGAACAAGTTTTGGCACTGCAGGAACAGGCTGAGGCTCAACTGGGCTCCCCAACATTTGCCCTCAAAGCCATAATTTCCCGTCCTGGCCTGCCCCTTCATTTGTGCCTACAGAACATCCTCAGATTGTGAGTTTGCTGTCTGGCTACAACAGAAAGATCTGACGAAAGAATTGTTCTCGAGGGACACAAACAGGCTGTTTAGCAGCAGGAGATGGGATCTGAGAAGAGCAGATCTGGCCCTTCATGTGTGAGAGGGATCCACTGGAGGTAGGGCTGCCAGCCCAGCCTCCAGGTGGGGTCTGGAGATCTCCTGCTTTTAAAACTGATCTCCAGACTACAGCTATCAGTTCCTTGGAGAAAAAGGCTGCTTTAAAGGGTGGACTCCGTGGCATTGTACCATGTGGAGGTCCCTCCCTTTCCCAAACCCCACCCTCTCCAGGCTCCACCCCAAAATCTCCAGGTATTTCCCAATCTAGAGTTGGCAACCCTAACTGGAGGGTCAGGAAAGGGAGAGAGCCGTGAGCTGGCTGAAGAGGAAGCCCTTGGGCTCAGGGCCTCTCTGCCTTCAGCCTTCTCTGGCTGCCAGACAATCTTAGAATCTCCTGGCTATACTACACACACTGCCATGCAATAATAATTATTATTATTCATCCAAACGAAACCAAATCCTGCCTCTGGAACTCCTCACCACAAGGTGAAGGGAAAGGTCTATTACATTCCTATCAAGGCCCTATGAGATATGAACCTCTCTCATTCTTGCCCGGAGGATGTCACCAGCTATCGACGTGGTAATCAATATTTAGCACAGTGGAAGTGATATTAAGTATGGGAAACATAACATTTTACAATGTCGTCTCATTGCGATCCTTATCAAATAGGTTAGTCATTACAATTATTAAAATTAACTAAAATTAATAAAATTAAAACTGCCTTCCTCTGTGGAGCCTTCCTTTGTGGTCTCCCTTTCAACGACTGGCCCCGCTTAGCTTCCAAATTAAAATTAATAAAATGTATTTTTTAAAAAAAAGATTATTTTGTTATCTAAAACGTTCTAATGCTGCCTTTGTGCCCAGTCACGGTCCCCGAGGCAGGGAGGATGTCACCAGCTATCGACGTGGTAATCAATATTTAGCACAGTGGAAGTGATATTAAGTATGGGAAACATAACATTTTACAATGTCGTCTCATTGCGATCCTTATCAAATAGGTTAGTCATTACAATTATTAAAATTAACTAAAATTAATAAAATTAAAACTGCCTTCCTCTGTGGAGCCTTCCTTTGTGGTCTCCCTTTCAACGACTGGCCCCGCTTAGCTTCCAAATTAAAATTAATAAAATGTATTTTTTAAAAAAAAGATTATTTTGTTATCTAAAACGTTCTAATGCTGCCTTTGTGCCCAGTCACGGTCCCCGAGGCAGTGAACATAAAAACATTAAAACATTTGAACAACTAAAAAGAACATTGATAATGATAAAATGACTCAATAAAACAACGCCAACGCCGACAACACTAAATCCAGGCAGGGATGCCAGCCAGACTGGCGACGTTGAAACCAGGAAGTGAAACTGAAACTAGGACAGAGGGGCTTGCTTAAGGCCACCTGGTTAGTTCTGGAAAGAGGGGAGATTTGAACTGGGGACTTCCCAGTCCAGAGCTGTGGCTTGTAGCCCAAACATGGCACCAGGGAACTGGCCAGGCCAATCAGACAGACAGCCGTTTCTTTACCAGCACCCAAAAATGATTGTTTCTGTCTAGCCCGGCCAGCCTAATCTGCTAGAAGGTAATCAGGATCATTGCCAGGCGTTTGAGTAGGAGCCGCCACGACTGTTACCATCTGTCTACGACTATTACTATCTGTCCTAGCCCTTTATTACCAACTCGCCGTGAGCGCTAAAATGGTGGTACTGCGTGGAGCTGTGGCCACTAAGGATACCATCCTGATGACGTCATCTGTTCCCTTGTTAGATATTGTGGCGAGCACTTATGCTGTATTGAATGTTTTTAAAATGCAGTTTTAATGTTTTATGTATTAGGCATTGGCCCGATCTGTACGCCGCCCTGAGCCCGTTTGCGGGGAGGGCGGGTTATACATTTAAATAAATAAATAAAAAACTCCCTGGACAGTACTGGCATGGGAGACTTCCAAGGAAGTCCAGGGTCACAATGTAGAGGCAGGCAATGACAAACCATCGCTGAACGTCTCTTGCCATGAAAACCCCTCTGGGTAAGTCAAAGCCGGCTGCGGCCTGATGGCCAAAAAGTAAAAGAGGGCGCTTCGGTACAAACTGGGTGATGTTAGGAACGACACAAATTATTAAAACACGCATGCCCAAAACCTGACCCAGAGAGCCACCCTAAGCAAGTCTGCTCAGAATCCTACTCAGATCAAGCCGATAGAGATTACTCCCTGGAAAGTGCTCTTAACGTTGCCCTACTGGATTCCTCTGTGGGTATGTACGTATGCATCATCAAGTCACAACTGGCGACCCCAGAAAAACATTTCCAAGGCAAATGAGAAGCAGGGGTGGGTGGCCCTTGCCTTCCTCTGCAGAGCCTTCCTTGGTGGTCTCCCTTCCAAGTACCAACCCTGCTTAGCTTCCGAGATCTGAGGAGACTGCGCTCTACCATTCCATCTTCCCTCCTCCTATATGAGTGTCTTTATGGGCTTCAGCCTGTCATTTCAAGAAGAGATCCAGAAGGATGCCTCCTGGCAAGGCCACCCAGGAATCCAGACTCACCTCGAATCTCCAGAGCCCCCCGATGTCGCTGCTCATCTCAAAGCACACGGGCTCCATATCCTCATCCAAGCAGCACTTGATGGAGACTAAGCCGCTCGCCCCTGCTCCAATGACCGCAATCCTCTTCTTGGCCATGGCGACCCCAGTGCAAAAAGCTATCCCGTGGTCCACGAAGCGAAGGAAGAAACCCTCTGGTGAGAAGCTGCCGTCCCAAACTTGAGTCAAGCACAAGGAGTAGAGGCTGTGCTATATAGCCGTCTCTGTGTTAGGAGGCACAGAATAAGGGAGCCTCTCTCTCGTACATACACACACACACATAATTTGGCTGTCAAAGCCTTCCCGGAAGAACAAGACTGGACACGCCTGTCACATGCTGTCTGAGTCTCTTTACAACATCTCAGCATATTTTCACTCTCGTGTTAATTGGTTAATCACATACATAACGTGTACTCTGATTCCGTCTGCCTTGACCTACCCTGACTACATAGCACCCTTTCCCCTTCCCTTTCACCTTCATCTTGGCATCTGTGAAACGCAGCATGAGCTGAGGATCAATCACAAATAAAGGATTTATGATTCTGGCGTGTAAAATCCCTGGGGATTTAGGAGCAGTGTCTGGGGAGGTAAGAATTTATGGAGGGGAGGGAGCTGAGCAAGGATGACACATCACTCTAGGACTTCCGTTTCTTGTAGACTCTATGGTATACCATAGCTTTAGAAGGCAGAATCTATGGAACACCACAGAGTCCACCCTCTAAAACTGTCGTTTCTTTCAGGCGAACAGATCTGTGTAGTCTGGAAATCAGTTGTAATTCCAGGCCTCACTTTGAGGAACCCCCAGATCTTTCAGGCCAGACCCATCCTCACTCTTGAGCCCAAAAAGACATCCCGGTTGTCAACTCCGGGATGGGAAATACCTGGAGATTTGGGGGGTTGGGCAAGCAGAGAGGCCTCAGCAGGGTATAGTGACACAGAGACCACCATCCAAAGCAGCCATTTTCTCCAGGGGAACCGATCTCTATCGTCTCAAGATCAGCCACTAAACAACAAAACCCCTTTTCTTTCACAGAGCTCACGAAATCCCACCCCCTTGCTTGGATTTGTGACTCTGTGCTTTGAGATGAGTCCTTTTAAGTTTGCAATGCTAGTGGCACTGGGTTCTGCTGGGCACTTTGTGATTGCACTTGTACTGCTGGGCACTCTACACTGTACTAGTTTTGCTGGGCTTGCACAAATGCCCCCCTTGCTTGGATTGTGACTGAGCTGACATTGCCACATAAGCACTGCATTCTGCTGGGCACTTGTACATTGCACTCGTTCTGCTGGGCTAGCAAAAATCCCCCCCACCTTCAGTTCCTACTGCAGAGATTCTCTGGTTTGACCTTAGTGTCGTTGGGTTTGTACTGCCACAGTGGCACTGTTCTGCTGGGCACATTGCAGTGGTTCTGCTGGACTTGCAAAAATGCCCCCCACCTTCAGTTTCTACTGCAGAGATTATCTGGGACTTCAGTTCTGTTCTGCTGGGCTTCTATTACCCTTACTCTTTTAGCTGTTTCCCCCCCTCAATTGGAAACAATGGAGGATGGAGGCACCTACTTTGGGGGGCCATAACTCGGACCCCATAAATCTAATCATCACCAGACTTGGAGGGCAGGTAGAGGAATCTCTAGATTGCACAGGATCTAGTCTATACACTCCTGAACCTGCACCCATCATTTCCCCAGAAAGGATTTTCCTTGGGGCACCTTCTTTGGGGGGGAACAACTCGGACCCCATAAGTCCAATCCTCACCAAACTTGCAGGGCAGGTAGAGGAGAGCCAGCTGGAGATCCCCTGTGAGTTTGGGGTCTCCAATATGCCAAGGAGCTGCTCTACCGCATCACAGACCTCACAAACCAGTTCATTTAGCCCCTAAAAGTTCATGATGGTTCATGGTTTTGCGAACCGGCATGGCACAAACCACAAACTGAACCACATTTTCCTGGTTTGTGCCCATCCCTATATTTATTTATTATTTATTTGTTTGTTGTATTTATAACCCGCCCTCCCGGCAAGCGGGCTCAGTGCGGCTCACATTGCCTGGCACAGTGTGCCAAGGTTCATATACAGTCAAAACATTTAAAACTTAAAACATTTAACACTGTTAAAACATTTAAAACAATCAATGATTTCCAATTAAAGTGCACTCAGTGATTATTAACCAAGATGGCGTAACATGTCATGCAGGCTCAGGCAATTACAGTCTCCTAGGCAGTCCGGCTCGATCTCACTGCAGCCAGCCTCCACCACAGATATTAATAGTGGTCGTTGATGGTAATGTGGGTGGCTCCTAATTGAAGGCCTGGTGGAAGAGCTCTGTCTTGCAGGCCCTGCGGAACTGCATAAGATTCCACAGGGCCCTGATCTCCTCCAGTATATCTGACAGTATATGGCTGTTGACATGTCATGGCTTCTGTGATACACAGTGGTTTTCTGTACTTGATGGTATTTGCCAGCTCATGACCTTGCCCAAAGCAAAACAGACATATGAAACCAAGGATGATCTCAAAGTGTATCTCCTGGTTTCTCAATGCAAAAATACATAGGAGCAGCTTTTAGCTGAAAATTGCTCCTCCAGAGCTGAACATTGCTTCTAAGATAATTAACGGCACTGTTTGTATCAATGTGCCCTGTTGCAATTCTCAAGGCTTCATGGCACAACACCCCAAGATTGCACTTGAAAAGTGGATGCACGTTTCCTACATACCGCAACGTGCCATGAAATTGCACACTTCTCAGCTAATTTCATAATATTCCAGCCTTCATAGGCCTTAGGGGATAGGGCCACAGGAATTGTTCAAGGGGCCTTTTAAGAAAAGGAATAGGGTGACAAGCGCCAGGCGGCGAAGATCCAGGGTTGGCCCAATGGAGTGATGGCCGAGCAATACTGCCTGGGTCTGCACCCCGAGATCAGGGAGACGGTCCTTCGCAGTGTTCACCCTGTGTCTCTGAATGCCTGGATGCGCGAATAGGCAGATGCTGAGAGCCGCTTGAGAACTATCAGGATCGACAATGCTGCAACCCTGGGTAAGACCGTCTTGACATCCCCGAAGCCGAAGACCCCCCTGAAGCAAAAGGAGGGGGTGCGGGAGCAGCGGATGAAACAAGGGCTTTGCCTGAAATGTGGCGAGGCCGGCCACTTCGTCGCGACCTGCCCGAAATCGGGAACCCAGGGAGCCATGCGGAAGGGACCGGAGAAGAAACGGGCTGACACCCCAACGAAGAACCCATCCACCTGCCCCAAGACCCAGCGAGTGCTGCAAGCAAGTATTCCCTAGGAGAACCCTAATTCATCCACCGAAGAAGAGGATCAACCGGTGGGGAAAGTGGCTGTTGAATTTGATTTGCCTAAAAATCTGAGACATTTGCATTGTTTTCCATTTCAGCCTCCTCGGCCGGGACCTTGGCCCAAACGTGTGGTGGCTTCAACAAGCCAGTCCCGCTTCCCTGATGGTGCACGGTGAACCGCATTATGAAGTTGCTGATATATTGGACTCTAAGCTAAAGCGTAACAAGCTGTTTTATTTGATTGAATGGGTGGACCTTGGTCCTCAACACCAAGAGTGGGTGGCAGAGAAACATGTTTCCGCTCCCCGCCTCCTTAGATGCTTCCACCGCTGCTTTCCAGAGAAACCTGGGGGGGGCGTTGGGAGGGGCAGGATGTCAGGTAGCCCTGTCATAGGTCTGGAATGTGGAGGGGTACCCTCCTGTTTTCAGTCTTAGCTCTCACTGGCTCACCAACTGTTTGCTATCTTACGGTTGACCTTGTAGATGCTCCAGCTGCAGTTTCTTGGCTGGGAAAGTTAACGCCATTTTGCTTTGCCTGCTTGCTATTGCCATGTGCAAGAGATGTATCCATTGGTTCATGCTTACAGGGGGGATGTTTGATTCTAGTATAAGTCAGAGGCCCTAGTGCTGACAGCCATTCCTGACACAAGCTGTACACGTGTCTCTAGTACTGGATCTATCAGTAAACAGTTACCTTCTTATGAAGCCTTGGGTTGCGTGACCTGACTAAGGACCCTGACCCAAACAGTATCTTCGTGTCCAGAATACAGGTTGCACATCAAAATAATCTAATGTTCTGCACACCCATTTATTTTAAAACCAATCATAGCTTTTCATGATCCACAGAGTCAAAAGCCACACGCTAATTTTCTTCTGAAATTCTCTCATATGCTCCAGTAACGAATGTAAATTTGCAATCTGATCTCTAGTGCCTCTTCCTTTTCTGAATCCAGCTTGAACATATAGCATTTCTTGTTCCATATATAGTAACAGTCTTTGTTGTAAGATTTTGAGCATCACTTTACTCATGTGAGAAATCAATGGGGTGATCCAATAGTTGCTAGTCTTTGACATTTCCTTTTCTGGAATTGCAATGTAGACCAAGTGTTTCCAGTCTGAGGCCATTACTTTGTTTTCCAAATTTAATGGCATATTCTTGTTAAGATTTTTATGGACTCCATTGTTGTGGCTTGGAATAGCTCTATTGATATCCCATCTACTCCTGGTGATTTGTTTCTCCCAATTGCTCTTAGTGCAACTTTCACTTCACATTCTAAAATACAGGTTCTTTGTCAAAAGATTTGTTTTTGAAGGAATCTGTCATCTTTTCATCTCTTCTGTATTGTTCTGCAGTGTATTATTCCCATCTTTTCTTTATTTTGTCCTGTTTAGTTAGTGTGCTTCCATGTTGATCTTTCAGCATGCCTAACTTTGCTTTAAATTTCTACTTGATGTCTTGGATTTTATTTATTTATTTATTTATTTCACTTTTACCCCGCCCTCCCCGCCAGGCGGGCTCAGGGCGGCTTCCAAAAACTAATAAGCAGTATACATTTTACAGTAATAGAATGAAATACATAATTTAAAAACATAGACAAGTCAATATAAAACATTC